GACCATGGGGCTCCAGCCCCTGGAGCACAGAGAGGGCAGGTACTGGGAGGCAGCAACACTCCACCCCCAGAAAGCCTACAGCAGGCATTCTAGGGGTAGAATTGAGTTTCATGAAACAGCCACAATGGCAAAGTTAAAAACAAACTCAAACAAAATTCCACGCTGGTTGGAAGTAGAACAAATTATGCCAGAGGGTGGCGAGCAGTGGACAGATAAATAGTGCAGCCAGGCACTCCCTGAGATTAAAATATTCAGCTAGTGAGGAGCACGGGTGGGTCATCAGCGCCTAGAAGAACATGTTCCTGCCACACTTGTGCAAATTAAAGGCAATTAAGTAAAGGTGGCTGCACAGGTATTCAAGGTAACACTGCCCAAACTGGGGGAGTGAAACAGGTTCTGGTGACAATTAAAACAAATACGATCTTTCCATGCCGCTGTCGAGTCCCTTGTCTAACGCAAACTATTAGGATGGTAAAATAAAATGTAAAATGTCAGCGTGGCAGCCGTGTTAGTCACTTTAAAAACGAGTGGTCCTGCAGCCAAGGATGGAGACAAACCGAAATTGAGGGAATCATGAGCTTCCGTGGGCAAAACCCACTTGGTCAGATGAGTTGGAGAGGAAATAACAGAAACCGAGCTCTCTATATATGTTTGAAGCAATATTGCCTTTTGTTTGTTTGCTGCTTCTTAATTTAATTGGGCGCCCTCTGGCTCTTGTGTGATATGAAGGAGTAAATAACACCTCATTATTTACTCTCTCCACACCAGTCCTTGTTTTGCAGGCCTGTGTCATCTCCCCTCTTCCTCGCCTCTTTTCCAAGCTGCATCTTTGTAATCCCTCCTACGGAAGCGGTTTCACACCCCTAACCAGATAGATAGAGGGGGTGTATGGGGATAGATCGATAGATAGATAGATAGATAGATAGATAGATAGATAGATAGATAGATAGATAGATAGATAGATAGATAGATAGATGGGGCATATGGGGATGGATGGAGAGAGGGAGGCAGAGAGATCTACTCAATGTGAATAGGATGGCACTGAATTTACTCAGAACCAGCCGAAATTCTTTTAAAAAAATCAATGAAAATCCATGAAAATGTGGCTCATTTGTTACTGGTTTTTCCTCTCTGCTGGCCCTAGGTCACCATTAGTGCCCCAAAGGCAATTCCAGGCTCCGCTGCCCCTTCCTGGAACATGCAGCCTCCTCGCGTCAGGCTGACGTGGGCTCGGGATGACGCGAGATGGAAGGGAAACCACGAAGCCGGCTGAGCGGTGCTGCCCTTCGGCCTGTCCTCGCCCATGCGGACGGTCTCTTGTGCAACCGTCCCCAGCCGCCCTTGGGGTGCAAAGGTGACAGTGATGGAGCTGGCCGGTGGCTCCGGGTGCCTCTGGGAGGGGGAAGGGTTGAAACTGTCTGCAGAAGGCTCTCTCCCTGCGGCTCCCGGGGCTGCGGAAACAACGTTCGCTTGGCGGGCAGGTGCTCTTCCTCGCGGAGCGGGCAGCTGGTACCTGGCTTCTGGGGTACCCCCGAGAGATGTGCCTGAGACTGGCAGGCCCCGCTCGGTTGGCAGCCAGCAGCGTTCTCAGCCTTGTTCATTATCGCCTGGAGCAAGCCAAGCCCCCGCCGCCCTGCGACCACGCAGCACGACTTTCAATGCCTCCAACACGGGGCTGGAATCCCAGGCAGAGCCCCTAGCACCAAGCTGGACAGCTGCCCCAAGCCTTGCACTTTTGGGGGCCCCATGGCAGTCACCCCAATAGTCCGGGGGCCCCAGGCCCCACACTTGGGTTGCAACCCGCCCCCCAGGCACCCCTCAGGACAGTCCTGATCCCAGATCTATAGTGCCCGGGAAACTGGCAGCGAGTTACAGGAACATGTCGGGATATGCCCATCAAAATTAAGGTTCTGCGGCTGTCACCGTTATTCCTAATGACAGTCATGGGAGGGCTGGGGGAGGGGGGCTCACAGAGCTCAGATGCTGACTGCTCCCTGCCCCAAATGGAAGGGATGAATTTGCAGGGCACATGGGGGTAGAAAGCAAGAAAGCAAGA